GAGACATAGAAGCTAATTTTGGTGCACGAATATCATTAGAAGAAAGCACGTGCATGGCAGAAATGTAAGTTAAAAATAAAGTAGTGTAAAGTAATGTATTTATAAATTTTATACGGCTTAATTTCAGAGTAATGAGTCATTTCCATGCCTTACTGAGCTATTTTGCATGTTTTTTATTCGTGGCAGGCTTATATAAGTAAGAAAAATTTCCGGTTTTAAGGTAGCAGGTTAAGCATGTAGAAATGTATTTCTCTAGTCTCTGCAGCTTTTGGTTTAATTGCAACTTCAACTACAGCAATTCTTAAACTCTCACGTGCTACTTCTGGATAGTTTTAATCTTTGGATATTGTAACAAGGTCTGTTGGGAGCTTGTTTACGTTCAAAAGGCATTATCATATAGCGTCCTTTGTCGGAAAAGGAGTGTGCCCAGTCGACGATGGGGGGTGGGGTGTTATTCATTAAGCGTGTGTAATGATGCAGTCCCAATTTCCCATGTCTCGTTTTAAATAATGTGAAAGTATAAGTTTAAGGGAAGAACGAAAACGTCATAGCATACCAATGGTTGGAGGATGGAAGGCTATACAGAAACGTCTTGATTCAAGTCATTTCGATTTGTCAAATTTCGAAACATTTGAGGTTACCATAGACGTTGGATTTAAAGGATGTTTCAAATTCAAAATAAAGTTTCAGCGATAGTGGCTGTTTCCACACATGATCGTGGGGTTTCTTTTTCAACCAAGTTTGTTAAATAAGCTGGAAGACCGAAAAGGAATTGCTTTAAGCTCACAGTAACGGGATAAAAGTGACGATAACATACTCTTGCTAATTCAGTCTTAATACGAATTGTTTATGCGTTCAGAAATTATGGTGCTAGAGGAATGCATATATTCGCTGGAAATATGATTACCGTGAATAATTGATCCACAAATCTGAAGGATTTAGTGAGTGATTTATGTCCCATGGTAATGGATCATTCGATGAAGCTGTATGGAATTTGTTGCCGATTGTGGCGGCAGTGTGTTGCTAACCATTTTCATTAAGCTCAGATGGTGTTATATCAGATTGTTTCACATGGCCTTTTCGTGCTAATTTTACTAGTCTAAGTTGTGCCACTTTTTGTCACACAGCTTTCAATTGACAAATGGATAGATGAGATTCTTGAATACGTAGTAAAGGCTTCACAATAATTAGTCAAAGAGTCAGTTAGTCTGGAAAGTGTGCAGTGGATTTATTAGATAAGGTCAAGATTGTAGAATTACTACCGGAGAAGAAATGTAATTAAAAATGTACATTAAAAAAATAGATATTCATGGAAAGCAATTCTTCCATATGTAATTCTTATGTATTTCTTCACTTCCTTACAAGTTTGGATTACTTGACTTTAATCAGACCGATGAACTCTGACCTCTATTGTCAATTTTGCATTATATCCGATTACTGAACAGGGCATCTGCAATTTTTCTTCCATATGTAATTCTAAATTTAGGTTTCTTAATCGTAGAACACTAATACATTGTAATTTTGAAGGCTACCATGAGTGCAATGGGGTCCCGTATTCAGTAAAAATGTATCTTCTCATACATTATGTGAATTTTATTCGTTTGTTCATGTACCATTATGTCCAGGTGTAGTTTGTCAGTCGTTATTTAGTTTGAAGAAAATATATAATTCTAAAATATTACTGATGTAGTAAATATATTGGTTGAAAAAAAAAATTAGGAAAAAAAGATTTGCATTTCTTACGTTCATTCTGCTCTTGTTCCTTTAGTTGTATAGTACATTTCATATTCAAATCCACATACTCTATCTACTTAATTTCTTTTACTTTCTCCTATACGTATGAATATACAAAGTATTATACGTAGTATAGGGGAAGTTATGTAATGCTGCGGAAAACCAATTTCGAGATTTCAACGAAAATACACGTTTTGGGGTCCCCTGATATCGAAAAATTGTTGTTGTTTTTTTCAAAACGTCCGTCTGTGAACACTAGCACCTAAACCTCGTAGAATGTTTTCCAAATTGAAGAAAAAAAGTGTCCAATTGGCTCGAGTCAAATCTTTGAGATATTGAAGAAAAAAAATAATTAAAATTGGGGTAATTTACATGACGCCCCCCGAACATTTTCAAACTTTTCTCAAAAAGGTTCCAAATTTTTTCTTTAAATTTCTTGTAAGGAGAGTAAAATACACTTGAAAGGTGGCATAGGTCCGATTTTCAGGTTTAACTTTGAATTTTCCGGTCAGAGGGACTGCAGTACGATATGATGCCATATTGCTCAATTCTTTTGTTCTTTCAAAAATTACAAAATTTGATTTTTTAAACCTTTAGCGGCAATTTGTTCACAGTGTTGTATTTATGTGCACATGTGCTTTAAATAATGTCACATACAATTTCTGGAAAACTCAAGTTATCTGTTAAAACGAGCTTAAAATTTCCCATTTTTAGAAACGCTCAAACGCCTTTTCCCCAAAACGGCTCCAAATTTTTCTTCAAACTTTTCTAACAGATAGTACTAATTTCATTGTTTAAGATGGCATAGAACGAATTTTGATATATTTTTTTCAAATGTAATTTGTTTAAATATGTCTCACGCCTTTAATATGCTCATTTCCAGCAATTTGTAAACACTCTTGCATTTGTGACTGGGAGTGCTTGAAATGACTTCATATGTACTTTTCTCATATGACTTTCATATGAACTCAAATTTTCTGTGACAAGAGGTACAAATTTCGAATTAACAGTAGCGCTTAAACGGTATTTTCTTAAAGACGGCTCCAAATGTTGCAAAGACATCTGCCAATTAGGACGAGGTTTTACTGTTCTTTAATATTCGTATTTAAATATTTCCGTTCTATTAGGAAAAAATGTACTTTATGTGGCGATAGATGGCAGCTGGTAAGAGTAGGTGGTAAGTACTTATTGCTAGCCGAGACCAAAGGAAATAGAACACGAATACAGGAAAGTCTGTACCATCACGTAGCACCACTAGTTACATATTATTCATAACACTAGTAATAAGATGTAAATATCTTAGGTCTGTACAAATTTTAATATTAATTTTATGTATTATCGAATGTACAATATACTTTAATGAAAATTTAGAAGTCCCAAATAAAGTTATTCTAGAAAAACAAATTGAGCCCACTCCGTGGCCAATTCCTGGGTGTCTACCTTAGTATTTATAAAGAAAAAACTGAAAAGGAAAAACAAGAACACGGGCAACCGGAGGGAAAACAACCGGGTTCGTCGATACTGCAGAGTTGAAAGATTTACACCCACCATTAATGCGAGAGCCTGATCCGACGAGTGACGCCTGTATTCAATTAAGCACGTTCTAGTCTTGTTAATTGTAACCCTATTTGACGTTGCAATGATAAATTCTTTACATATTGATGCTAAATCTTTTACCTTCTTTCCTTAAATTTCATTTCTGCAGTCAAACTTATTTCTTCAGTGCTAGATTGTACGATGTCCTGTACTTTCATTTTCGTAGCCATTTGATCACACGTACTGAAAGGTTTTGTAGGATGGCCAGGTCCAGCTGAAGGTATATCTTGTTTCGATGTACTCGGGATAGATGAGTGAAAATGAAATATTTTCATTCAGTGCAGACGAATATGTGTTCAGAAATCCCTGTCGTTGCTTCTAAATCCTATCACATTTGGTATGGAAAAAATTCCTTTTCATCTGTAGTGTCCTTTAATGTAGTTTCTGAATATTCAATGTCTTCCGTTTCTTGCGCGGCAATAGTATCAAACTTCGAGTTTTTTATCCATATTTCAAAATAGAGTATTCCGAAAAAATGAGATCGCTCATTCCGTTAAGAGTATATTTACTGTTACTTTTATTAAAGTAGTGCGCAAGTTTGCGCAAATTTATTTTTGATTACTTGAAAACCCGAATACCAGCTCTAATAAACACACAACCTCGAAGTGGAATTAGGTGAAATACGTTAAAACATTTGTCAAAACTCAAAAACCCGTCACTGCAAATGAACATCTAACCTTTTCAATATTTTTCTGTGAGAAGATACAGACTAATAAAAACAAGTAAGCAAAACTATGTACTTTATTTAATTTGTGAATTAGTTTACATTTGTATTGTATAATTTTTTTAAAAAGATTCATGTTTGTAACAAATAATTTACTTCAGCTTCCGTGTCAATGACCCCCATCACGATCAGGTTTTTGTCCAGTTTCCCTGATCCATTGAGCAAATGCTGAGATGACCCCTTGTTTTGGTTCTGGATGTAAATGTAGCTTCACTACGCGCACGTTTGTTGAACTCTCCTTTTGCTTGTAATGGTAAGAGTAGGTAAGGACGAGTTGCTATTTTGTTAGCAATGCAGGAAAATCACACTTGCAATTCGTGTACCGATGCAAATAAGTTTTCTATAACTCGAAGACGAAAATGACTATTTTTCATATATCGCTAATCTTGCGATTTTTAAAATTTATTTTTATTTATGTTAAACGTTTACTCAACTTTCAATTATTTATAATTAAAATGACGGGAAAGGATTCTGGAACTCACGTGCGCAGGTAAACGTCTCCCCCTACGTCACATACAGTTTTCACTGTTTTTTTGACTGAATAAATCTAAATCTACTATCCAATAACAAAGATATTCAGCCCCACGAGGCACTTAGAGCAAGCTTCATGCACCAAAGCGCATTATTGGGACTGCGCACGGTCGTGGGATGTTCGAGCAAGTTCAGACATGAATCACCCTTTTCTGTTCGGATTCTCGGGAAAATAGTTGTCGGATGCTAAGGACATTCTATTAACGATATGTTAAAAATTGGATTAGGATTACTTGGAAAAATGAATTTTTTTATACCTGCATTGCTTAAATTTGCGTCGGGGAAAGAGAGGGAGAGAGTGAAAGGTGGAGAGCACAATTCTACTTACGATTCTGCTCACTTGTCTACCCTGTTTCCCCGAATTCTCCGCAAGGTCCATACATCTGTGGAGCCTTTCTTGCATTCTCCAGCGCTTCTAGAGGTCTCTGCCGGGATATTGACACCGTACGCCGCTTGCCTTTGGGAATCGACTGCACATGGTGCGATGTAATGGAGATACATCACATATAAAAGTGATATCATCCCTAGCAATTTCTTCTATTGAATCTGGCCCATGCTCATTTTCTGCATAAACCAATATCAAATATCACTCCCCACAATTTCTTTTTGATTTCCTCAGGTCTCTCATTTTCTGGGCGTTTTCCTTCATACTTTGTAGGTTTTGAGTCGATGTTAATTCTTGCCTGTCCCGGGGGTTCTGCGTTTCTTAATGACTTTTGAACAGGTAGGTTTTGGAGAATGTTCTGGTAGAGTTTCATGTTTTGTCTGAGAGTAGATTGATGGCTCCTGAGGGGTTTGGAGAAAGCTGTTGTTCTTGGCAGTGGCATTCCTGTTCTACTGGAAATATATTCGGATTCCATTCAAATTGATTTTTATAGCGGCTCGGCAGCACGTGTCTGGAAGTTTTCCTTTTTGATATATTCCTACATGTGGGAACAGCTCTAAGTCGCCAGGTGAGAGTTGTTTGTAGGCCTTTGCGTTCATAAGGCAATTTATTTGACTTAGGTTCCTTGCTTTTAACGTTCATTCATCGTGAAGCTCTTTCCTGTGAGTATATCTGCGTGCTTGTCATATGAAGCTCTATCCACATGTAGTACACTAAAAAGTTTTCTTGCGAGTGTGAATACGCATGTGTGTATGTAAATTTCCCTTTACAGAGAAGTCCTTTTTGCAGATAGCACATTCAAAAGGTTTCTCGCCGGTGTGAATGCGCATGTGTGCACGTGCATTTCTCTTTTCAGAGAAGGTCTTCTTGCAGATCACACATTCAAAAGGTTTCTCACCTGTGTGGATACGCATGTGCCTGCGTAATTTTTCTTTTATTGAGAACCTCTTTTCACAACTAGAACACTGAAAAGGTTTCTCGCCAGTGTGAATATGCATGTGATCATGTAAATGTTGTTTCGTTGTAAAGTTCTTCTCGCAGATGGTGCATCGAAAAGGTTTCTCACTAGTGTGAATGCGCATGTGCTTCAGCAAGTTGCTATTGTGAGTAAAGCTCTTTCCACAGATGGTACATAGAAAAGGTTTCACGCCAGTGTGGACGCGCGTGTGTGCATTCAAGTGTTCTTTCGTTGAAAATCTCTTCTCACAGAAAGTGCACTGAAAAGGTTTCTCACCAGTGTGGACGCGCATGTGCGTATATAAGCCTGCATTTTGTGTGAACCTCTTGTCGCAAATAGTGCACTTAAAAGGTTTCTCTCCAGTGTGGATACGCGTGTGCTTACTTAACTCTTCTTTTCTTGTGAAACTCTTCCCACAGGTAGTGCATGGGTAAGGTTTCTCACCAGTGTGGATGCGCATATGCTCACGTAACTTAATTTTTTGTCTGAAGCTCTTTTCACAAATTGTACATTGAAAAGGTCTCTCACCAGTGTGGGTGCGCAGGTGTACAATTAAATGTTCTTTCTTTGTAAAGCTTTTCTCACAGATGCTACACCGGAAAGGTTTCCAACCAGTGTGAATGCGCATGTGTGTAAGCAAGTTTCTTCTTTCCGTAAAACCCTTCCCGCAAACAGAACATACAAAACGCTTCTTGTCACATTGGATGCGCATGTATACATCGGATTGTTCGTTCAGTGAAATGCTTTTCTCACAGACGGGGCGTTGTATTGGCGTCTCACCAGCGTGGATGCACAAGTGCCTATGCGAGCCATCTGCGAACAGAAAACAATTAAATTAGAAAAATATATTTACAATGTTTTAATTAGATTATTTGAAGTTGCAAAACTGGTTGGGAGGACAGCAGTAACATTGGAGTCAGCTGGCACGAAGGGACGGCAGAGATGAGCTTCAGGTAATAAGCTGCAGAGGTTTTCCTATTGTTTCTCCATTTAAGAACTTGACGGGCAGGGTGGTGCAGGGACAAGTGTGGGCAAACAAAATGTCTCTTTATGCGATACTGTCCAATGTGCTTCAGAAACAAAACTGTAATACTGAAAAAATCGGTACTATATTTTTTAGGTACTTTACATTAAAACGCATTTACAGAATTTTCTCAAAAATACTAAATTTCTTAATTAAGCTATTTGGATGGGGCCAAAGGACACCTAAAAAGGCGCAAATCTCATTTTTGTCAAAATATTTGAATTTTTGAAATTCTTTAACGTTCGGAATTATTCCGGCATTCCTACAACAATATTGACGTTCAGAAATAAATGAGTAATTCTATGGCAAATTTCACACTCACAAAACAACACCATTTTTTAGTGCCTTGAATTTTTTTATGAGTTTGATGGTTGAAAATAGGTGACACGCATTTTTTCTTTTTCTTCTAATCCCACACATTTCAGAAATATTACCATTTACTTATTCCAAAGAATCATGTGCGTTAATGTTAAATTTTTTGCACAAATACCGTTTTATAGAGAAAAATAAAATTGCAAGTATAAATTTAACTTAAAAAGTACGTTCTTGTGATGTAAATATAATTTTTGCGAACATATTCATATATTTAAGGTGTATTTTAATTTTGAAAATGCAAATTTTTAATTTGGGCCGACAATTAAATTAATTATAAAAATACTCATGTATTTCTACACTGATTTTGTATATATTTGCCAAATTTCAAAGTGGGACACACAAACATTTAAAAAAATAGTTAGTTCACCGGTGCACATTCCCCATTGGGTGCAACCATGGCAAATGCTTAGATTTCGGAGGGACATCAGTAGCAGACTCACGTTTGAGAAGTATGGTTAAAATGGCCGTGCTTATACGTTGTGCTAACATGCAGACGCAGCGGACTAAAAACAATTACGAGATTCGGTGAGATTTTTGGGACATGGATTATGAGAATCTTTACAGATTCGAAAAGGACAATGTTATATGGTTGACATTGGCGATCATGAAGAAACAAGAGGCAAAGCTCAAACCAATGAGCAAAAATGAAAATATTTCTTCCTATGAGGCCGATACTGGTTTTTAAGTAGGAATGGCAGATGTTGGCGTGGATCAGTCCAGTGAGCAAGACTTCTAGTTTCATCATGGAGAAACTAAATGAAAAAAACAAGTATTGAATACAGTTCCCAAGAACTGAAATAGATCTCCAGCATGCAAGAGATCTGTGGCAGGAAAGATACACTTTTCCTAATGCAATTGGGGCTCTTGACTGTAGACATATTCTGATTAAGAAGCTCATGCTTTTGAGTACCTCAATAGGAAAGGCCAGCATAAATATTCAAGCAACATGCAATGCTAAAGAAGAATATACTAGCATGGACGCTTCTTGGCCTGGATCAGTGCACGATTCTCACATTTGGAAGAATTCTGAACCCCACAGATTAATATCAGGCCAAAGCGACATGTTGCTACTTGGCGATTCATGCTATGGAATTTCTCCATGGCTCATGGTGCAATACAAAAATCCTGTAAAAAATCCTGACAACTTAACGCTTTCAAATTTTACAAAGCAGAGTGAGACTAGTTACAGAAAAGATACCATCTGTTGTCTTGTGCTGCTTTATTTTGCACAATGTAGAATTGAATTGCACATGATGATTTTGCAATGGGCATCATTGAACCTCAGGAAGAATTACAACCTCCAGAAGAAGGAAGAGCCCCTGGCACATTGAGAGGACAACATAGGTGGGATAAACGGTCGAGAATAATACACAGATTTTAATTTGTAAGTATAATTTTCTTTATTCATTTTAGAAAACAACACATTCACTCTCCCTCATACTTTTTCCCCATAGATATTTTTCCTTATTTAGTCTTAGTACTTGTAATTCCTCTAATAGAACGTCTTGACAATTCAACGTTTGACATACATTTAGTTTCTTCCGTTTCTAAATACACTAATCTTTTTTTACAGGCGAGATAGCACCCTCACAGGAGACCCGTTGCTGCTCTCCTTACGTATTTCTTCATCAGAAACACATCCTGCTGCTGCTTCATTGCTGGTTCCAGCTGAAGATGCTGCTCCTGAAACTGATATAAAATATAATGTAAATAATTGTGAATATATTCAGTTAACATAATGAAATAAAATGAACACATTTTCTAGCAAAAATTCTAATGTAAATGATTGAGAATATATTCGGTTAACATCATTTTATTTCATTAGGTTAACTGAATATGTTTACTATCATTTACATTATAATTTATGTAAGAATACGTGTTAATGATTAAAATGAACACGTTCTCTTGCACAAATTTTAATGTAAATTCTTGTGAATATATTCAGTTAACATAATGAAATAAAATGAACACATGTTTTCTATCACAAATTATTATGTAAATGCTTATGAATATATTCAGCTAACAAAATGAAATAAAAAGAATACAATAGTTTTCTTACCTTTTATCTGACACACTCTTGGATTACTGTCCCTGTTCATTAATTCATAATTTTGTTTTTTCCCAAGCTTTTAATTTAATTTTTTTGTTGCAAGTACGATTTTTATGTTTTTGCTTTTAAACGAGATTTTGTTACAGATTTGTTTAGTTAATTGTTCCTCACTTATCAGAACTCGAAATTTAGTACTGCTTTATTAAATTTTGAAGAGCTTCTTTCCGGCGTCTTCGTACCTCCGGAAGCTGGCTCTTCTCAAATACTATTCGACATTCGCTGAGCATCTAAACAAAAAATAGTTGGGACTCCGGCGCCTTCTGCTCCTCGTCACTGCTGCTACACATTTCGACCTAGAAATATCGAAAATGACGAGAATATCCAGAAAACAAGTGTACGATCTCAAACACGTGCTCACAACTTCACGTGTTATAAAACAAGCAAACACGAGCTTCCTCACAAATATTAACCACGGAGGAAAAAAAAATGGTGTGCGCGGCGCGCGTAACGTATGTAACATTTTTGTTACTCAGGAAACCCATTTTAAAAACTCTTTGCCTACACTATTGCTTGCTCACAACGAGCAAATGCTCGCGAGACATGAGCAAGTTTTTCGGAGACATACGAAGTTTTTATTCTTACGAAATGGAACTATTTGCTCAGTGCCGCGGAGTAGACTCATTTTGCTCCGGAGCAAGTGCCCACTTTTATTTATACCCATGATCTTCTTTAAACTAACACTATGTTATAAAGTTTTGTGTATCTTTACCGTTCTTACTAGAACTATCCTTAACGCTTGTGATTTGGCATTGATCTTATTGAGCGATATTGTATACAATTTGTTACCATATAAGGACTTTGTACCCCTGGGTTTAGGAAATATTTTTTTAAAAAATGTCTACTTACCTTCGGTAAATAAACCCTCTTCCTGTTTTATTGAAGCAGCATTGTCACAGCATAGTTCCAGAGGATCCTACACCAAGAGAGAGAAAATTAACTACAGTAGTAAGACAACAAAAAAGATTTTACACTTTATTTGGGGGATAATTTTACCCTTGTTGAAGTCTAGCAATGCATTCTAAACTTCATTCATCTATCATTTGCACGCAAATGCCTAGCTTGAATACATTTGATATAAATAGGCGTGGATTCAGTATCTAAAAAACTGAAGTTGCTTGTCCCTTCAAGAATCGCATTTCATTGTTACTCGTCAGAAACTATGGCGACGAACTCCCAGCCGCCAGTAGTGTATGGTATCCCGAGTGTCGTTTTAAAGGATTTACGAGTTTACTTTTTTTGGCCGTCAAGGCGATATTAAGCAGTGTAACGACTTAGCGGCAATGTTCATGTTTCGAGATATATTGGTAACAATTTGAAATAATACTCAAACAAATAGGTAGTGCAAAGTAAACAAATCATGGCGATATGACTCAACATGGCTGCCGCCTCACATATTGAGAATGATCTCAAAAGTTAATCGCATTGGATCCATGAATTCGTGCTAAAATAAAAATTTACACAACTCGTACGAAATTTCTTTGGCGTACTCATTTCAAAATGCCGGACGCGGCTCCTAGTGTCGCTTTGCCCGTCAAATTTTTCCCCGAGTCGTTTGTTTGCAGGTGACTCGCTCTCTGTATTAGGTATGTAAATAATTATTGTAAATTCGTTGAAAATGTTACATTACGAATTAGGTTTGTTTTATACTTTCATTCTCGCGAGTAAATGTCGACTGTTCTCTGATAGTAGAACTTCACGGCGCTATATTAGTGGAGGCGTCTAGTGCCAGTGGTAGAATGTTCGTGCCAAAACTTTTCACTAGAAAACTGCACATCTAGTAATATGCAGTGCGCATATTTGTTTCAGTTGTACAAGGACACACGTGAGTCATAACCGAATTACAATTTTCTTATTTTAACTGTGAGATTGAACGGCGCGCCAAACTGCAAGTCTGTTGGTTAACTCAACTCCTTACCCAGGCGCTATAATGGTTAACACAAACAAAACGTAGGTTGTCAGCAGAGGACACAGGGACGTATAGCTCTACATATTAATCACTAAGACCTGGAGGGGATCAGGGCTGTCAAAGGAGCAAGCGAATGACCTTCAAATAGTCTTCGAGCACAAGGAAAAATTGTGGAAAAATTGAAATATCCCACACTAGTAAGCTAACTTCATGACTGTTGCGAATTGGACACAGCAAACGCGTTGATATTTCAAAAGAGACATTTATTAAATTATACATACTGTTTAGGGCATTTTGGTTGTGCAGAAAAGAACAAATTTTAATAGTTTTACAAGCATTGTTTATAGGAACAAAACTTCAAAAAATAACTTTCTGACCTTCCTGAAGAGGTGAAAGCCATCTTACATGGAGAAATTCTTGGCTGCTTCCTAGTATCCACAAATTCTCGGTGGAGACGGTTTGTTGTTGGATCATATCGTCCAATGTTTTTGTGAATTTCTCCTGAATGCAAAAAACCAACTTTTTGAAGTCTCCAGCCGCTACTGGACGTATTCGCCACTAATGTATTAGTCAACGGGGAAGTAACAAATTTTACAACTGTTTTCACTGTCTCGCCCACTATCTACTTAAGCAGTAAAAAGAAAGTACTGTAATGCTCGAGCAAATTGGCAATTTTTTGACAAACTAGTATTGGTCACTGATATCGAAAATGTGGACAATTTTTTATCCTGTAAGAAGTAAATTACTTTTGATTTCTTTAGTAAGAATCCACGTTTTGTGGGTCCCGTATACCGAAAAATTGGAATATGGCAAAACGTCTGTCTGTGGACAATCCTAACATCTAAAACCTTTAAAGACTTTTCCCCAAATTTTATAATCCCCGATCGTTTTGGGCGAGCTCGCGGCCCATCAAGTTTGATAAGGATATTTATATGTGTGTGTGTGTGTGTGGGGGGGGGGGTACTTTACATGAAGCTTCAAACATTTTCAACATTTTCTTAAAAATGGATCCAATTTTTTGTATTCAAATTTTGTTCTCAGAGTAAAGAATATTTTAAAATGGATCAATTTCCTTGAAATCTCTGAAATTTCGACAACTGCGAACGTTCAAACTTATTTCAACGTCTTACAGCAATATTGAAGATACATTTTTTTCTAAATGAATATATCTACTATACTATTCAATAAAAATCAACCTAGGAGACCCTGAAACCTTGAAAGACATCTTTCAAGGTCATGTACAATTTTTTGATCATGAGTCGTTTTCGCAGACTTGTGCGTGAATTAAAGGCAATTTTAAACAATTATTTTTGAAAAAACAGCTCCATTTTTTCCTTTAATTTTCCTCCCTCGGATATAACAATTGATTGTAAAGTAAGTGATGCTGGTCCCATTATCGGTGAACACATTGTACTTTCGAAAATTGAAAAAGAAAAAAAGGAGTGGATCGTTTCACACTCGTTACACACAACACTCGTTACACGGTCGAGCGTAAATCGATTATACGAGAGTAAATCCGAGAGTAACTTCACATGGCGAAACTCCGTCGGGCAAAGTACGGTGTAAGCCCAGTTTTTAACGTGTACTTCCGAAGTGTTTTTATGTCTCAACGATTAGGAATGATGGTATTAGATGATTCGAAATATCCTCTAGAGCGAAGACAAAGGGTGCGGGAGAGAATGAATTGGTTTTCCAATTATGACGATCGAGATTTTGTCATGAGGCTATGGTTGACCAAATCAGCGGTTAACTTCTTCAGGTACATTATAAGCCGTAGATGACTCAAGTAAGTAAACGACAACAAGAGTAAAACTAATAAGTACAAGGACTAAAACTACTAAGAATTTTTTATTTATTTAGTAAAAACTATGGGAGGATCATCAGCGCACTCTTCTGGAGTTCCAAAATTACTTCAACTATAAATAGTCGAAAGGTAAATAAAAAATTAAAAAATAAAACAAACAACAGCAACAATAATATTTAAAAAGTGCGAGATTAGCAACATTTGAAAAATAGACATTTTCGTTCCGGAGTTATAAAAAATTTATTTGCATCGATAAACGAACTGCAGATTTATTTTTCTACATTGCTAACAAAATAATAACTCATCCCCAGAGAAGAAGAATTGATACTTATTAAGAAATAAAAATACAAAAACTAAGAAATAAACCATGCTAACTCAAATTACAATAAAACCACACAAGATTATAACACCAAGAAGCCGCCAAGAACTTCGAACTGAAATGAATGATATTGAATTGATATGAATGAATTAACCAGAGGTTCGCGTTGATATACATTGGTTCATAGCGTCACTCTCGCTCACTGCTTCTTTACTCGCTCTAAAATATTGCGTGTTTAGCCGATTCACAGATTTTTAGTAAATTAGTAGATTTACAGTAAATTTAAATTTCGGTCGACATGTTGCATGGAGGGCGTGACATGGTAAGAAACATTTTGAAAGTGATACAAAGTGACAAAACGGTATCATTTTAAACGGTAACCAACAAAAAATAACGCAATGAAATTGTACAAGACGCAATATTTAAAAGAAATGGTTCATAAATCTGTTTCAATATCTTCTAACAAGGTGATAATTTTGGTAACTGGCTGCATTTAAAATTCCCGCAAATATTGTGACGCAAACTGGTGTATGAAGTTTCAACGAGCGAAACTTTTTTGTGTTGTGCTTTGCAGTGCTTTGGGACGTTCGAAACTGTATTTGCCTTGCAATGCGGAGTAGCGGAAATCAAGCAACTCTGTGGCCCATTGACGCTGTACTGCAATCTATTGGCTATATCAATGGCCTTTTCCCGGCAGCTTTTGTGCAGATTCTCATACCGGAACTTTAAGATCCGAAACTAAGACCCTCGTGTTGACACGGTACTGGGGACAGGCGTTTTGCCGTCAATTGATTTTCCATTTTCAAGGGCCTACAGAACTTGGATTCTGAGTTACTTATTACTCGACCGCTTGCCGGAATCCGAGGAGTTGGGTTGCTTGCGATTTGTCGAGTGACGAACATCCGGTGCGCGGTCTCCCCGCAGCATGTCGGAGTTTTGGACGTATCAGGCTGGTATACACGGTACAGTTTCAGTGCATATTGGACGCACAAAAATTTGCAGTCCAGACTCTACGTTTTCTGCATGAAAACTTTTGAGCAAGTTCGATTTTTTCATGCAGAAAGCTTACAGTTTGACTCAAGTGCCTCTAGCGGCAGAATCGTTCACTAACTTTGTTTATCCGATGCAACGGTAACTATGGTCGCCAGTGATTTTGTTAAATGGCTAGGTATAGCGGCTTCTTATGTACTTTGCTATGCCCAAACCTAATACAACAAAAGTTGTCCTTAGACAAACACTATATATTTCGCAGAGAGCCACGAGTCTTGCTGAAACGCTAGTTGCTTGCAGGTTTATTACAAGACAGCAGTCGCCAATAACGTATGATATTGTAATCCCACTAATGATATCAAATAGTCGCCAGACGATCAAATCAGTTGAGCAACTTTGGGAATTCTGAAGTGGAAATATAAATCACACGAAAACTATTAGTATTTTTCAAAAAAATGTACATGACCTTTTTAAAGAGCGGTTTCTTACAACAGACTTTCCCTGAGGCAAAAATCTCTATTGTCGATTTCGTGGTTTTGAAATGTTAACTTCTTGCAATTTTCAAAAATACGGAGCTGTAAATGGGACTAGCACAACTGACACATGAGACAATAAAAAAATAACGGTTTTGAGAAAAAATATTTCAAAAAATTAATTGCCTATATTTACTTTAAAAGTTACTTATTTTTGAAAAATTCAACATGACCTTATTTCAAGGTCTATCTTTAAAGAACCGATTTCATTAAGAAAAATAATCCCCATCTTCAATATTATAGTTGTACGAAAAAATTGCACTTTTGCAATTTTCTAAAATATGCGATTTAACGAATGTGAGACTTACACCAGTCTCTTAAGCGACCTATGCGCTTTCCAAACTTCAATCAAAAAATTTGGAGCAATTATTGAGAAAACTTTGGATATGTTTTTGAGTCTTCATGTTAAGTACCCTCAAAAATCAGAACACCAATTTGAAACTCACAAAGGCTCGCGTTTGTTCAGATTGATAAATATCTACATTGAAGAAGAGCGACTGAACGATTTAGATGCTAGCGTCGGCGCCGGCCGGCCGGACAGACGTTTTGCCATTAAACGATTTTTCGGTATCGAGGACCCAAAAACATGAATTCTGTCTACACGACGTATTTAGAGGAAGTAATCTACACTAATAAAAGTGAATTCAACAACACAATCACATCGATAACCAGTAGATAGAAATTCATAGAAGAACCATAGATAAGAAATTCTTACAGGATCATCTTCAGAATCGTCGCAGTGTCCTTGCGAAGCTTGATAAAGTTTAACACATATGCGTAAAATGAATAATTTAAATATGTCGGTAATCCAGTTTGTTCATTATCTTTCGCATATCGCTATGACCATATTGGTTCTAATATATTGCGCCACAGGTCAGTAGCGGTGCAGCAGAACTGGTATTATCCGCACAGGTTCTCTCGAGCCCTGTTTCGCTAGACGCGAGAGGAGTGGGGCGATGTAATGTCTATTATATGAGAGCGAAGATTTCTAGTAATGAAATTTTGTGAACAACGCTCGTCGCACAACATAGTTATTTTCCGTGAAAACGTCTTCAGTGTTGTGACAGCGGCGAGCACCATCATCTAAAAGGAGAAGTTTCCAAGCCGACCAAGAGAAGGTCGCGACCACCGAGATCTTGATGATCACAGTCTTTAATATGTCGCACTGTAATTTCTAGATCTAATCGCCTCTGCAAATTGACGAGTGGCATATAGCATTGATTGCGTACACTTAGAGCTTCGTTTAACCGCCGTCCCGAAGTGCGAAGAACAGGTCGACTAAAAGTCGCATGAATCGAAGATATCACACACGTAACATAATCCTCAATTCCTTCTACTGCCATCCCATCTTCATCATTTAATGGTAGTGTATCGTGTGACGGTGGTTTGGGCATCAAGTCTAAACGGCACATCGGACAAGTTTGCTCTAGTCCCAACTCATTTTGTTTTTTTAGCCAAATTTCGAGACAATCTTTGCAAAATATATGATTAAAGATTGTTTTTGCCCATGTATGAAAGTCACCATGATGGCAGATATGGCAAATAGCATCATCTCGAATAGCATATCTAGCCTCTAGAGTAAAAAACAAAGTAGATTCTGCGTCTGAGTTAGAATTCATGTTGGAGTTCACACGATGTCACAACAATAAAAGTTCACAAAAGTAAGCACACAAAAGAGGCGCCCACCATGAACAATTGAATGATACTTTCCACAATCATTAAACAGTCCACCCAATCCATGTTGTATTACACAATGACATTCATCTCACGACGACAAGCCAAACAGTCCCGTTTCGAGGGCGCCGTTCCGTCAATATGCGTGCATCCTTTGTTGTAATGTTTGATGCAAGGCAGAAGCTCGAAATGCAGGGGAGCTTTTGCACGTCCTCGGGGAGTCGATTGAAAACGGTACGCATGTTTCTCGGTGCTGGTGAATGATAGAGAAGTGCGACGGGCAGGCGATGAAGATTCTCATCATCGAGCAAACAGAGAGCGCGGCTGCGATGTGTAGTATTGTTTTATGGCTACGTTGATGTGGAAGTTGGCTTTTAGCTAATGAGATAATAAGTTCAAGCTGTTCGTTGCGATTCAAGTTTTCTTTGTTGTTGCTTCTCTTCTTTCGCTCCATGTGACTGTTTCAATGATTATGATAGTCAAATAAAAATGTGTGTCTTATACACCACATGGTGCGATAACAGAAAGTGGGAACAGGATGCGAAGTGGGAGCAAGAAGTGATATGCAACATCCTGTTTGAGGGCCTTAGGGAACGGAAACGTTCACACAGGAAGTGTCCTTGTATTTCGTACGCGATTTTCATGTTCATTGTCAATCAAGTCTGGATGTGTCAATCCAATGCATTACTGCGAGAACGTGAAGAATAGATTTTTCTTCAATGAGCGATAAGACTATGCGCCACATCTTCCCGAATCGCATCGCGTCTACAGTTGTATGGAATGTTTCCGCAGTGCTAGGGCGTACGTTGGTGGTGGTGTGAAAACAATTTTGTGGTGCGTCGATCATCTTTGTTTAGTTCTTCGATCTCACAGGGCGGTTGGAACGTGAACGTGCGTGTTTTATATTGTGACGCGTTATTAATTTTGCTTGGTATGTGTAGCAGTTAGGGTTTTTATGACAAAACGTTTGTTTCTCCAAAAGCCTTGAAGGTCAGCAATTGCTTTCGTCTTCTTCCTGTCCCACCGATAAAACGGACGGGATGGCTGTGACGGTGGTGGTGGTGCCACAGCTTTATTCATTTTTGGTAAAGACAAATAATTGCCCCTTATCGTGCTTGATGATAGTGGCTCGGTGGTAATGGTTGAAATGGCGTCGTCCTCGTCCCACGGACGCTCCGCTTCCCACGTCCATGTCACATCGAGATGTGCTGTTCGCTCTCGTCTCATGCGTGCGTCTCGTACGTATTGGTGGCAACGTCGACTGTCGAGACGAGCTGTTCGTCCCTGTCCCACGGACGCGTTGCATCGCCCCACACTTGTGGTACGTTTACAACAAAAAGAATAAAAGAAAATGAACACAGCGCAACAAAGAGAAGATCGCAATTGGACATTTACGCACACTTAGAAAGTCCAGATATGACTAAATAAAACGAAAGAAGATCATCCAGTCATGATGACTCACATCCTGTTTGCTTTGCATGATCATTTCCTATTTCTTTTGGAATATAATTTCCTGTTTCCATCTCCCCTTCTAGTCGTTTCTTTACTGATTCCTGTGTAGAGGAAGGAAGACACGTCCGTCTCTTATGTAATTGTCACGTTGGTGGACCCATGAATTGAGATGGTCATCGAATTCCAACCATTTTACGAGTCGGAGCGGTCCCTTTTTGCGCACGAGGCGTTCTACCAAGTACTGATGTGGAAATCGAGTGCGTTGCAGATCTTGTCCGTATATTCGCCCCGTACTTGCTTTATCGTGAAGATCTACAATCGAATACGTGATGGGATTGGAAAGATGTATGCGATCGATTTTGAATAGTTCTGAACCCCACCGCGGTTCGTAACCCTTCCTTATATATGCTCAGCGGACGAGATCGCCGGCGTGAAATTTGTCAATAGTTGCTTGTCGACAGTTTTCACATAGTCGTAAACCGTCTCCATGAGTGTGTCCTTCACGTCTTTCGGGTTCATGCCGATCTTTCTATGTTTAGTATTATTGTAGTCCTCTATTAACGAGGGAAGCATGAGTGTCCAGCGTCGGGTGCCCTCGGCGGAGAAACGTCTCCACATGCGCTCTTTGAGAGTACGATAGAATCGCTCAACGACCGCTACCTTCATGTTGGAAAACGTAGAATAATGGTGAACGTCTCGCGCGCGGAACCATTTGGTGACGGTGCAGTTGTAAAATTCCGTACCGGGGTCCGTTTGTAAGGGCGTAGGCTTTCTGGTCCACGCGCGTTTGAGAATGCGCGTAAAGACATTCGCGACTTCCTCTCCCGTGTTTTTGTTAAGCGCTTCCGCCCAAGCGTACTTGGAGTAGACATCGATGACAGTGAAAATATATCGCATGCCCCGATTCGATTTTGCGAACGGCTGCATGTTTACCATATCCGCCTGCCATAGGTCGAGTCATTTTGTAATCACACGTCGCATAGTGTACCGGCGCCGAGCTGGCGCATGTAATTTTGTCACTAACCCTTCTCGCTCATTCGAATTGGCAGTTTTTTTCGTCATGTTCTGACAGTTGTCTACCCAATAATACCAGCGTCGCGCAGTTCGTTCTCTTTTTCAATTATTTCCGTCGTGACCTCTGTTTCCGGCTTCTTTCGCCAGAGTAAGAGACGAAGCCTTCGCACGCGTTTCTTGGGGTCACGCCAGTATAAAATTTACAGTCTGGAGGGATCACGATACGAAGGCCTTTTCCTGTTCTTTTCCGATTTCGCGTTGTCGCATTTCGCTGAATCGTTTTGTTTGCTCTTACCTTACGTGGTGTACGAGGAGAAGGAGGAAACAGTGTTGCAAAGACATTGTTGTATTTCCATGCGTTAACGCCAATTCACCGTTCTTTCTGTATCCTTCTCTGTGCGCGTGCTGGAGAATTTTCTTATAATCATTCCAGTCTATCTTCTACAACATTGAGATTCGGTTGTTCTTTGAAAATCAATTCCAGAAGACCAATGCGCGTTTCGCAATTATCTTTACCAGTAGTAATGATTCCATTGTCATGTATTTGCATTTTAAAATGACCCGTGTAAAGCGTTCTTTCACCACTCAACGAATGAGAACGGAAATTTGGACCGGAAATCTTATCAGCGCCTCCTGTTGCGAGAGCGCGCGCAGATATTGCGAGATTTGAGATGTGAATCATCTACATTAAAAACGAATGGACTAGTGGAGGAGGAAGAGGTGTTCACTTGATATTCATTTTCCACATTCCCACTCTCCGTGTTCACCCCTCTATCAACGCCTTTTTCCCCGGGTAGGTTAATGGCTTTTGATTTTTCGATCCTTCTGCGAAAGCATTCTTCATGGAGGTCCTGAGGTACGTCTTAAAGGAAGTCGTCGCGGTTTGATACGTAATGACGGAGCGCCTTCAGTTTATTTCGAATTATCGATCGAGTCTTTTCGACTTCAAACTTTAATCTTTCTTGTGGAGTTAAGTTGCGACGGTAGTGGACGGATGTGGGCGCTGCGTTTACGTCGTAACGAACGCATTGTCTCTGTTGAAAGCGTTTCACTTTCGAATGAAGACTGTCTTTTGTTTTCTCATTTTCATTGAGTAAGTTTATTTCAGCATGTAGTCTTTGCTTATTTTCACGCTGAACACGACTTTCTCTTCCTTCTTCCTCGTGTCCCTTTCTCTTTTCACTCATAATTTCGTTTTCATTTTCATCACGCCGGTCACTACGGGTGCCGATGCTCATTCACCGATACTTGCGTCACTCGACACGACCCTCCCCACGCTCGCTTTGCTAGTTCAGCGTCTTTCTTTCGTTCTGCGCCATCTTTGTGTTCATGATAAGCAATGTCATGAGTCCTGCACGCTCAGTCTAAAGGATTGATGCCAACATCCCCCCTCGTTAAGCGTTCACTGAGACGCGTTCCCGGTCCGCAAAACTGATAACCGGGAATGTGTAACTCAAATGGAAGTGCATTGACAGTGCGATTGATGAATCGTCCGATAAATCCCTTCCCTCTTTGATATCTACGTTGTCGCAGATACGCCATATTGCGACTCTGATGATAGAAAAGGAATATTTTATATAGATGGATTGACTTTAATAAACCGATCGAATACCTGGTATTTTCCTTTGTTCACAGACCGCATCTTATCGACACAAAACGAAAACGGATTTTCGTTCCACACGCGACAGCACATGATTTTAAAATTGCGAAAAGACGGAAAGTCGTTTTCCACATGCTCATTGTAAATAAATTCCAAGTTGTTATCCTGTCGGGAAAATATCACAATATTAGCGTTGTCGCGAATGAGCACCATAAAGAACGTTCCGCTCCTCAGCGCCGAAAAACGACTATTACTCCATTACGCCGCGTTGACGCCAAATGAGACCCTGGAACATTCGACGAAAGTCGAATTGATCGATGACAACGGTTCATTCGTGACCTGGATTCCTCTCAAACTCTTCCTTCCGTTCGCAGAGGATCACAGACTATCGTGGCCGGTGTGAAGCATGAGCTCATTCTTGCACTTGAACAGACGCTGATTGTCTTCTATTAAAGGAAGTGGAAGCGGCAACGCCTTCGAAAATAGAAATTCAACGCATCGTTTGGAGAATGTCGCACACCACCCTCAGCGACGCAGGTAAAATGCATATGTACAACATTCTCAACGGCAGGGCAAGTATGCCGATTAATTCACGAGATGTGAATTCCACGAATCAGCAAATTTGCCGCATACAACGCGCAACAGTGGACGGTGAAGACATCCAGTAAAGTGAAGCATCCGCAATACATGATCTTCGCTATGTAAACCAACCGTCGAAACGATTTGAAAAAGAACCCTAGCGTGTTCGATCTATACGAGTTAAGAACCATTAAACACTACATCAACGATGAGTTTTTTCGTTATCATGAGATGCGCATAGGATGGAACAAAGATGAGATGCATATACCAGAATTTTCAAAATGTTCAAAAATTTCGAAAAATCGTATTTGGATTGACATCCTATTTCATGTATTACATATTACGGGGTGAGAAAGATATGTCCTTTGGTCATATTTGGTTCGTCACGTCGCGAGGAGCCGACGTTCACCTCTGCATCAGACAATCTTTTTTGAATGCAATTCGAACGTGCCTCCCAACATGTTTGCCTTTTGTCTCGTATTTTACTATTGACATATGAACTCATCTAATCACAGAACTCGGTCGCAAAGTATAAAAATGAATTGAAATGTACATAGACACTCTCATTGACGAGACTAGTCATGAACACATCGAAGAGGATAGTATTGTGAGAGACTCTTCTCCGTCACATAGTGAAGAAGAAACCTCTAAAGCAGCGGAGGGAGCTAATATGATAGTAGAAGAGAAAAAAGTGCGCAAGAAAGAGAATAAAAAATAGATGAATGTTCTCATCCTCGCACCAGCCATTGCATGCCTTCTCATAAAACAAAGAAGAAAACGAACAAAAAACTTCAAACACAACGGAAGGGAAAAACAACTATCGCGAAAAGCCTGCGGAGGACTCTCTTCTCCTCCTTCACGAACATCAACAGCTTCCGACACTTCTCATTTGTGTTGTGGATTCAACATTGTGCGCAACATGCAGCAAACTGGCTCCTGCGTGCTGTGCAAATGGAGTTTCTTCAAACCCATTCTCCAGATTCATTGTATGCTACTGACGGTGATGGTGCTGCTACTTCTGCTGCTCAAAAGAACATCAATCGTAGACGACCTGAATTCATTTTTACAATTAATAATACACTTTATTGATGTAATAATTTTAATCTATTGAAGTCAATACATTTTGAAAATAAACTACTATTTGTTATTATTTTCCTAAACAAACCAAGTAGGATATCCTAAAATAGTTGTCCTTCAACTATAATATTTGTTAATTAATTAAGTTATGTTTAATCATTTTATTTGTCTCGCAGTATGGTCCCGATCCTGCGTTTTATTACACAGCTCCGGGCTCTCGTGGGACGCAATGTTAAAAACAGCTGGCGATGTGCTAGATCTTCTTACGGATGTAGACATGATTCTTTTCTTCGAGAAATGAATCCGGGAAGGTCTCGTAGAGGTGGTCTGGCGCGACGCTGAAGCTAATAATGAACATGTGGGGGATTCCTTCAATCCATCATATAAGGAATCTTGTCTTTCCTAGTGGGACGCCAATAATTTGTATGGGTATAGTAAGCGTCATCCACTGCCCACAGGACGGTTTAGATGGATGACTGATAATGATATTCATACATTTGATTTGAAACAGGCGGCCGCGGAGGTCAATCGTGGATAAGTTCTCGAAGTAGACCTCGATTATCCCGACGAAATCCACGATCGACTGAGCGACTTGCCGCCTCGTCCGAACTCACATGTGCCCCCCGACACAAAAAGCAGACAAGGCAAATTATTGGCGACGCTGTTGCCCAAGCGATGCTACTTCATTCATATTCAAAATTTAATTCAGGCCATGGAGTTGAGAGTACAACTGACCAAAATTCATGGTAATCTTTCATTTAATCAAAGTTCATGGCTTGCCACCTCCATGAACCTCAACAATTCACGAGGGCAGCGCGCGTCCTCCAATTTTGAAGATTTTTTTTAAACTCATGAACAACTCCGTTTACGGGAAGTCGATGGAGGACGTGCGTAACTATCGCCGCGCCTCATCGCGATTCCTGCTTTCGTGCGAAGTCATCCTGTTCGAAAAGATTTCATGACAATCGAATTGATGTGTACAGAAGTGAAGCTCGCGGAGGCCATTTGTTTAGGATTTTGAATTTTAGAAATATCAAAATTTAGAATGTATGAATTTTTTATAAATATTGTAAAGAACAGTTTCGCGATCTTTATCTTCTCTACATTTCACCGATTCATTTGTTATCTCTTCCTCAACGAACGAGTACGCTGAGATGAATCGGTGTTCAGAATGGTTCGATACGTCGTTTTCCTCCCAGTAATTCATTTAACATCACACCTCAAAATAAAAAAGTGCTGGGACTGTTTAAGGACGAATGCGGAAATTATCCCATGATAAAAATTTGTAGGTTTGCGGCCATAGATGTACTCCTTTCTCACCCGCTCTCAGGCGACCGTTTCTCGGACGAAGGGAGTACAACGTTCGGTTGTAAAAAGATATAAATTTCAAAATTACTTAGACTGCTTATTTGAAGATCGCCACAGAATTGATAAACAGTGCTGTATACGGTCTAGAAATCATTATAATTATTCATTTGTCCAAAATAAGCGTTCGTTGTGTGTGGCAGACATGCACTACTGGTTAGACAAATTTACACACGTCCGTCCGCTCCATCAGCGTGCTCGTTCGTCCCTGCAGGCGGAGTTGTAGAATAGACTTTCTCTATTTATTCTTTCACATTTATTTTCAATTAACAATATATACTTTTTCGCTATTTATTAATATTTTCATTTAAGATTTATTTTAAGATACGAAGACGTCCTCGAGGACGGCAGCAGCGGATGGAAGGGGGAGGCCGCCAAGATGTGGGAAAACATTGCAAAATCTGCAACTACCCTTACCATTCTTAATGCCTCTGAGGAAAAACATAAGAAAGATAAAATCAATACATTGTGGGGTACCACTAAATTGTGGGAAGTTGGCGACATAGCGTGGAGACTTCACAACGCACAGACCTTCAAAGATGATGAAGAGAAAGAAAAGACTATTCACGATGCTGCCGATTTCACGAAATTGAAAATATTTAAAACTCTGGGAGATCACATTTGCCTTCTTAAAGATACGGCGCAAAAGAGTTGTTTGGAACAACGCTTTGTGCACATCTGGCAAATTATCCACGCTTGTTCAACCGTCACTTCCTTCGAAGACGAAGCGGAAGCGCACACCACATCCTCCAGCGATAAGAGGAAGGAAACGGTCTTCACACACATAAAATCAAGAGTAACAGCCAGCACTCATTTCACTTTCGATCGCTGCTCAACAACGACCATCCTCACCATGGACGGAGACGCTGCCATTCGTCGTCGACGTGATTTTCTCCAATGTCAAGATATTTTCGAAGAGACGCCGCTCCATCTTGCCGCGCGAAAGGGTCATCACAAGTCTGTGCTAGTGCTCTTCAATGTTGGTGTGGACATTACCACTAAAAACAAATTAGAACAGACGACGGAAGAGTTGCGAGTAATAATCGCATCAAAACACTATTGGCCGACATTAGACGCCAACAATCGTTAGAGCAACAACATGTCAATCATCAGCAATAATTTCAATCATTGTAATGTAAAAATTTAAAAGATTGTACTTGAAATCAGTAAATACATGTATGTATTCCATGAAATATTTTGTATTTACCCCCACGTCTCCACCAGGCAGGGCCTCCGCTCAACTCCTCCTCCCCTAGCGGTCCAGAATTTTTTTTACAAAAGTTGGCAGGCTAGCTAGGGCAGGGTAGGGCCAGTATTTTTCCCCCAGAGGTTGGTAGGCTAGACGCCCCGAGCAGCAGCTGCTGCTGCTGCTGCTACCGCGGCGTCACAAGGTCGCCTTCAGGAGCCTTCTCACGCGACCTTGTGACGTCACACCACGCGCCGACACTCAGCCAACGCATGTTATGGTACAGCACCGCCCGGTCACCGGATGCGCCCTTCCGCCCGACATCAACACGCCCCACAGTATGTTTCCACCGGATGTTATCCGGCGGGAGCCCCAACGACCGACGCCCCTGACGACAACCTGTTGTCAACCCACCGAATGTTATGGAATGAAACGGGCCGTTTTAGAATGGAAGTGGAATGAAATCGGCAAAATACCCCTACTATATATAAATTGATCCTTTACCTCTTCCACAAGGATTGGATATGAAGGCCAAAGCAACACCGGGCATTTTGCTTGTTTACTATATATAGAAACATAATATACCCACTTTTTCGTTACCAGGGCCCAGAAATAAGAGTTCTTCTGCCAAAAATTTGCCGTTTTTCAGCACAGATTATGTAACTTTTCTTCCTCACGAAGAGCGAGAAAGTAAAAACTATATAATTCCATGTAAAAATCAAAGATGATGGAAATCCACTTAAACTATTGTATCTCTACGGCGTATTTCTTGCTTTTTCATTTATTATTGTTCGGCGAAAACTGCATTTCGATATCACGAACCGTTTAGAAATTATGGGGTGGACCATAGTTAACATACCCGGACAATATATTCAGGATAATTTCAACATGTTACCGCTCATTATTACTTTGAAAACAAAATTCTCTTATAATTGTAGTATATAATATTAACCTGTATTACATACCTTGTCTTCACCAAAACAAAATTTTTCATTCTTCTCAGTTGGCTCAACAAACACGGCAATTGGAGGCTTCAAATCTTCCTGCACAGTTAAACACAAAACCATGAACCCAAGCGTTAAGAGGAAATAAATAAAGCAGTGACTTGAAATTAGTATAGTTTTAATTAAAAAACATACACAAAAGCAATAGTGTCAACTTCAACACTCCTCAGGTAACTACGCCAGAGTAACAAAAGTGCGCAACTACTTACACCTGTAATGAGCTTTGTAGTAATCAAAGTTACACGAGTTATCCATACAACAAAAACTATTATATCATAAGAGCAAAAAAACTCGTACATACATGCGTATTGAAATAAAGAGACCTGGAAGCAATCAGGATACGGCGCTCCGTCAGTAACGACTACAGAAGGCAACCAAAGTTGGGCACAGTTGTGAAGATCGGTTACTGCTGCTACAATGGCAGGTTATCACGATTTAAGTGAGTTTGTACGCGGTGTTATAGTCAGCGCAAGAGAGATGGGGCATAGCATCTCCGAGATCTCAATGAAATTTAGATTTTTCCGTACGACCATTTCCCGAGTGTACCCTGAATATCGGGAAACCGGTAAAACATCAACCCTCCGGCGTCGCTGCGTCCGCAAAAAGATTGTGCAAGAACGGGACCGACGACGACGACGAAGGAGAATCATGACGTGATAAAAGTGCAAACCTTCCGTAAATTGCTACAGATTACAATGCTGTGCCATCAACAAGTGTCAGCGTCCGAACCATTCAACGAGACATTATCGATATTGAGTTCCACAGCAATAATGTTTGATCCCTGCACTTTACGCCTCGCCTGGGCCCGTCAACACCGACATTGGACAGTTGATGACTGCAAACACGTTGCCTGGCCTGACAAGTGTAGTTTTACATCGTTTCGAGCGGATGGACGTGTACGAGTATGGCGACGAGTTGCGGGATTCAGTGAGGCAAGTCCCCCCCCCCCCCATCTTGAGAGAAATTTAAAAAAAAATATTTAGACATTTCTTTTCAGGGATCTTCAAAAATATATTATAAAATATTTACTTGTTTCTGTATTTGAGAAGACACTTAATAATAAACCGAACAATTATTTTAATAAGCAGAGCTAATAACATACCTTTTAAACTGAACAACAGTTGTGTTCTAAAACGTGCGGGATGTTTAGCGTTACAGGGAACATCGCTTATTAATAAATCCTCTTTCAATTATATTTTGCTTTTAAACGTTATTTACTAAGAAATTAAACAGTTTCGTTCCTAAAATCATGAGTCATCCAGGGCCTAGATGTTTACGACATGTAATATTTTTTTCTTTGTGTTATTTCGGTGGAAAATATTATTTTTCACCGATAAAACCATTCGTAACCATTCGTAAGCATGATTTTATCTACAATGACTCAAATCATGCAATTTTCCAGGTGTCTTATACAGTCACATTTTTTACTTTTTAAAAACCTTTTTTGTCATTTATCGTTTATATTTCATATTATGACCATATTTGTCCATTAATTTTTGTATTATCGTCATATTTTTATAATTTTGATTCCATTTTCACCTATTTGTAGTCGTCTGAAAGAGTTTTTCACATCTTCAAATTCAAACGTTGTTGGTGTATTAAAAGGAGATCGAGCAGGAGATAAATTACTTATTTCCTGTGAAACATTGAATAGAAGTAATCACTCAACAATTGCTGTTACCTTGCATTAGCAATGAATCTATTGTGATCTGAAGGAGCGAAAAGAAACAATTTTTTACTTCTAGTCACGGATGCAGCCCTTTACTTGGTGAAAGCTGGCAAGGTTTGCGGCTACTCTACCCGAAAATGTAACATACATTGCACATGCAATAAATAGAGTTGCGGGAGAAATTCGTGGATATTATCCTGATGTGGATAAGTTAATTCCTGCAGTGAAGAAAAAAATTCCTTCAAAGCTTCATTGAGCGCAAAAATTCAAGGAAATGGTTCCTTCGGTGCTATTGCATCCCAACCTATTATTACAAAATTAACGCCGCAAACTACTACTGTACTAATGAAAAAGCTATAGAAGGTTAACGCATTCAATGAAGGCGAAGTTGCCTCCATCAAAACCGCCAAGTCGCTTGTTTTCAAGTACCACATTGACCAGAGATCTCGCTTACAGCAAAACCAAACATTTTGGTAGTCATCTTTAAAGTCATATTTTCATAATTTTTAGATAATAAATTTTTGCATATTTCAAACACTTTTAGATCATAAACATCCGGGCCCTAGTCATATCACTCAAATTAACTCTCAAAAAGGAAGTGTATTTCCCGTTGATTATAGACTATAGATATAAATAAAACTATAAATTCTTTCGATCTTGCCAAAAACCGAAGATTGTATTTTAATTAAACTAATTTATTAATGTAGATTTTAAAATGTTTCCTAGTTATATATAAATATTTGTAATAATAATAAATGATAAACACTTTCGATATTTGGATGTATGATTCACTGACAAATCTGCATCATTGAATTAACAGTTCACGCCGTTCAAATAGCAATTAGAGTCGACACCTCTGGGTCAAACTAATCTAATTAATAACATTTAATAACAACCAATTAAATAATTAACAAAATTGAAAACAATGTATATAATTACGGCACAAGTAACTTAAAGCATTAATATAAGCGATTATTTTCATGTTTATAATGGCGCCCAAATTTGCCCTCCCCTCCAATAAAATCCCGCATTTGGCAACAACCTCATGAATCCATGGACCCTGCATGTCAACAGGAGACTGTTCAAAATATCGGTGGCTCTGTAATGGTATGGGGCATGTGCAGTTGGAGTGATATGGGACCCCTATATACGTCTAGATACGACTCTTGACAGGTAACAGGTACACAAGTACCCATTCGTGTCACTTGTGCATCCCGACGATCTTGGGCAAGGACAATGCGACAGCCCACACGCCCAGGATTGCTAAAGAGTGGCTCCAAAACACACTTAATTTGAACACATCCACTGATCACCAAAATCCCCCAACATGAACATTATTGAGCATATCTGGGATGCCTTGCGAAGTGCTGTTCAGAAGAGATCTCCACCCCCTCGTACTCTTACGAGTTTATGGACAGCCCTGCAGGATTCATGGTGCCAATTCCCTTCAGCACTACTTCCGACATTAGTCGAGTCCATGCCAGGTCGTGTGCGGTACTTCAGCGTACTCGCGGGGGCCCTACACAATATTGAGCAGATGCACCAGTTTTTTGGCTCTTCAGTGTATATTGCCACAGTAAAAAGCCTATAATAAACAAGTTTATCTCAGAATTTGTAAAATATCACTTATTTGGAAAATATTACACTGGTTTTCACCCATTCGTGTAAGTTAAAACAAACAAAATAAAAGACCAAAATGCATTTCATGTCATATTTAAACAGTGCAATTAAAATTTTCGCCGCCAATGTAAATATTGACGTCAGAGAACAAAAAAATAAATTTTTATTTTTGTAACTTTTACATTACATTTTTGTAACAAAAGAATAAAACATAATGGCGTTTATGTAATCTTATACAGTATATTTATCACTATTCCTACCAAACGTTTAACGAAAACATCTGGAGCCGTTTTTGATAACGTCTTGTTTTTTGTTTTTTTTAATATTACACACATTGCCCCACAATATTGCGTGAAATTTTTTAAAATATGTATCTGATCTTATTGAAAGAACTCGTTGTGGAGAACAAATTTACTTGAATGAAAAATCTTTATCTTCAATTTTGTAGTTGTAGAAAGACGCCGCAAAAATTCAAACTTTTGCAGTTTTCGAAAATTTTGTGAAAATTGTTCTTATGCCACCTTTATATAAGTGCATTTCTCACAAGAAATTTAAAAGAAAAATTTGGAGCCATTTTTAAAATGTCCCAGAGGCTTAATGTACCCACAAAAATTTCATGAGACTACCCCAACAAACTTCTGTTGGAGTAGTGTCATGACTAGGGGCGGAGTTGAATGAAATGTCAATTTTTTTCTTTTTACTTTAGAACAATGCCGTTTAGTTAAGAAATTCGTTTTATGTTAAGACAAAACGAAATGACCCTTTTTTATATTGCATTTTTTGCATTTTTCGTCGATTTCTACTAAGTCATTTTTTTACCTTTTTACGTCATTTTAATGCATTTTTTTGCCGATTTCAGTAACATTTGGATTTGATTTTAATAACATTTTAGTGGTACGCGCTTCAAACGATATTTACGAGGTGCAACAAATGTTCACCACAGGATTCCTGAGTAGCCTCTACGACTTCGCTCAAAAATTGTAATGTCAGCCTTTGTGAGTATTATGGAATCCTTAAATTACATAGTACTCACAAAGGCGGACATTAGTTTCTGTGTCGCCAATCGACGCCATTGCGAGTTTCGCGATAAATATAGGCGGAGAATTTCTTTTAAAGAACAGTCCAAACCAAAAGTTTGCAAGTTGAGTTCGCTTGAAGAATAGGAAAAATCGAGCGAAAACAAATGCTTGTTTATGACCTCTTTGCAGGTTTATGTAGTAACACAGCGGAGCAGTTAGAGGTAATGCGTAGGTATATGTGCTTTTTAGCGCTAGTTTTTGGTTGTTTGAGTTTGTATTTTTTTACCGCCTGAAATGACTCGCATGCATAGCAACTAAGTACGGTTATAAGACATTCGAACTGTCGCAGGTCGCAAATACGCCCTGGACAGGAGTGTATTGTGCTTTCCCATCTCGCCTGAGTAAACATTAGCATTCAGAAATTTCAGATGTTCTTAATATCGTCAGTTTCGGATAAGCACAACATTACGCAGTTAAGCAAAGAAAATTAGTGATATTACAGAATAGCATTTATCTCGTATTTTTATGACGATTACATCATATAATACTGTAAATTCTGTCCTAGTACTTCATCTTTTCTTAAAAAACTTGTCTCTACGACTAGTCCAAAGTATACATTTGTGCGCGTTATCGGATGCAGTAGAGATGTAGACTCCACAAGCCGTGCGAGAATATTCTCGCACGGCTGTCCCCAATCACATTCCTCTCCGTTCATTACCACACGGCTGAAGGTTCTTCCAGTCGCCTAGAGAGCAACAGTGTTCTGCACGCTCGGCCGTGGCAGGTCCAAACTGTCTTTAAGGCAGGAGAATCACGAAATAGTATGCGAGTCAAACAAAATGTCTACCGCAAACACGCTACTGCAATCAGTAGAACTTAATATAGTTATCGTTCAAAATACTCGTATACAAGAAAAATCTACTTGTAACGCTAATGGTTCTACTATTAATTCTATTTTAAATGAAATAGGCTCCAATGAAAAGACAACTTCCTCGATAATAAATATTACAAATTGCTCTAATTTCACAATTAATTTTTCAAAAAAGGAAATATAGACTATTTATGACTGTAAAACTCGTTTGTAGTTATAAAATATTTAATTAATGAAGTAAAAACTACAATAAATGTTACAATACTTCAAAAAAAAATAAAAAAAACTTTTCAAATGTTTTCATTCAGTACATTTAAAACATCAATATCAAAGTCGTGGAGAAAGTATAATATTCTACTCGCGTAAACTGGATATTATTCATAGAAATTCCGACACTCGCTCCTATGTCGCTTGTGTCGTAAACATCAACTCGTGAATAATAGTCATTATTCTGCCATTATTCGTTGACGAATATACAATATGTAATCGAAAGTATCCGGACACGTCCAAATTGGTGTTAGGTTGTGGCCGTGGAGGAGGCTTGCACCCCTTGGTGTTTCGTGTAGCACTATCACGGCAGAGGCCTACGTTGATGTTTTAAACACCTTGCTTCCCACTGTTGAAGAGCAATTCGGGGGTGACGATTACATGTTTCAACACGATCAAGCACCAGTTCATTCATCACGGCCTGTAGCGGAGTAGTTACACGACAATAACATCCCTATAATGGACTGGCCTGCACAGAGTTCTGACTTGAAACTTATCGAACACCTTTAGATATTTTGGAAAGCCCACTTCGTGCCAGGGCTCACCGAGCTACATCGATACCTCTCCTCAGTGCAGCACTCCGTGAAGAATGGGCTGCCAAGAAACCTTCCAGCACCTGATTGAAAGTATGCCTGCGAGAATGAGCCCTATTGAATTCCAGCATTACCGATGGAGGGCGCCACGAACTGGTAAGTCATTTGCAGACACGTGTCCGGATACTTTTGATCACATAGTGTACCACTATTAAACCCATATTAAACCACGCCCGCAGGAATAGAAAAAAATATCTTTAATAGTTAAAAATTAAAGAGTATTAATGAAAATGGCACTTCTGCAATTGAAATGGGTGTAATGTGTTCTACATTTACAAAAATGTACAAGAAACAACAGATAAAGAAGAAGAAGAAGAAGAAGAAGAAGAAGAAGAAGAAGAAGAAGAAGAAGAAGAAAAAGAAGATAAGAAAAAGAAGAGAAGACAAGAAAAAGAAGAGAAGACAAGAAAAAGACGAGAAGAGAAGAAGAAAAAGACGACAAGAGAAGAAAAAGACGACAAGAGAAGAAGAAAAAGACGACAAGAGAAGAAGAAAAAGACGACAAGAGAAGAAGAAAAAGACGAGAAGAGAAGAAGAAAAAGACGAGAAGAGAAGAAGAAAAAGAAGAGAAGAGAAGAAGAAAAAGAAGAGAAGAGAAGAGAAGAGAAGAAGAAGAAAAAGAAGAGAAGAGAAGAGAAGAAGAAAAAGAAGAGAAGAGAAGAGAAGTGAAGAAGAAAAAGAAGAGAAGAGAAGAAGAAAAAGAAGAGAAGAAAACAACATATCAATGGTTCAGACAGCTCTGAAAATTCTCTCCATAAATGCAAAAATTATTCGTATTTTGAAAAAATGTGTGTCAAGAAATCATATAAAGATTTAATATGGAAGAAAATATAGCAATAACATCGAAATCTCTAACTGCACTATAGTAAAGCTGAAGTGAAGCAAGACAGAAATTGTCACATAATACTTCATAACTTACCAATATTGTAAGAAAATGTGTGCTGTTCCAGAACTACCAGTTTTGTCATGATTTCACTAAAAAATTATGGGATAATACATTTAAAAAAATTCAAAGAATTGTTTTCTTTGACAAACTCCTATCAAGAAAGGGAAAATCTGCTTGGGAATTGTTCAGAAAAGTTGCATTCAAGTTTTCAAAAATCTGTCATGTTTCAAATTATGAGGAAATTTTAAAAAATATATTAAATCCTCTTTATCAAATAGGATGCAATATGTCATTAAAAGAACACCTAATTCATTCTTATTTAAATGTTTTTCCAGAAGACTGTGGAGCAATTTCCAGTGAACTCAATGAGCAAGTTCATCACACTATTTGCATGTTTAAAAGATGATACCAGGGAATCACAAGCACTACATAAAGCTGACAGATTAGAGCTGATCAGCATTGGGGGATGCACCTGAGACTCATTACGAATGAAAAGCTACATGAAAATATTTTTAATAGAGGTATGTTATAAATAATGGTTATGAGAGAATGTAAAAGAAAATTTAAATAAATTTCACTTAAAATCACAAGGCATCCAGACCAGGTGTGTGTGTGTGGAGGGGAGGTATAAGCAATGTTTAATAACTAATGGATAACTGTTGAATTGATGCGTGTATTGCAGAAAGAAAACCTGACAAATTTTTAAAAAGAAAAAAAATTCTCATTGAAAACGGTGAAGTATATCAATTGGGTACTCATACAAAATAATGTGGACAGTCAGAGAAATAGAAATGTCCTACAAATTGTTCTGTAATACAAGTTTTAATTGGTCTTCATGTTCAAGAAAATAATTAATTACACAAATGTTAAAGTTAATGAGAAATTTGGTCAACAATCATACCCATGAAACCTCACAGTTTGCTCTACTTCACCAGAAATAGCAAAGCCAAGAACAATTTCTATTAATACAATTGCTATAAGCATATCATCTTGTCAATTACAATTAAATAACAGGTGACATAAGTGTTTTAAAAATAAAGACTACTTACTAACCTTACATGCAACCACAGAAATGACTTTCAATCACATTTTGACTTGAATTTGAAATATAATACACAAAAAATGTTGTAAGCTTTAAATAAGTTCAAAAGCATATCGAGATTTATAGGTTCTGGAATTTCTGGTTGAAACATTGTGAGAAGATTCTTAAAAGTTTTTGAAAATACTCCCAATGAAGCATGTAACAGTCATTATTTTTATGTTGTTCAATCCCTTATTTTAAATTAAGGACAGACACAATGATAAGTGCAAAAATGTCTTCACATAATAATTTTATTCACTAAGACATTTCAAAGACTGTTTTGTATCCCTCATCAGGTACAACTGAAAATTTAATTACAAAATTTTGCATGAAGCCAAAATGATTTACACAAAATTACATAATTAACAAATAAATTTATACTGTACCCAATACAAAGAAAGCCTACCTGTTATAACAGAAAACTAAAACTAATATATACAAAAACTATATACAATATTTACAAATTATAGAGAAACATCTGAATATTAGAATAAGTAGTGGAGTGCTGTCTAGTCACTTTACAGTTGAACGTTTAAATTGAGTTGTTGGTAGTGGAGGAACAACAAAAATCAGGAGATAGTATTCTCTTAACTAAATTTTCATTTGTACCTGATGAGGGAGACAAAACAGTCTCCGAAACATCATAGTAAATAAAATTATTATGTGAAGACATTTTTTCACTTATCATTGTGGTTGTCCTTAATTCAAAATAAAGGACTGAACAACACATAAATAAAATTATATTGTGACAACCATTTCAAGACTTATCTTAATAACAGTCATTCTTACATGTGAGAACGTGATACATAATACATTGTTATCTTATGTGTAACATCAGTGTCAAATATTTTTGTGATTACCACAAAACACAAATTGCTATCTGATCAAGTCAATAACACACACAACTAACTAAAAATAGTATTCTAGGAATACTCTTTTTTAACCTGAAAATACCAACCATGAGTAAATAATACATGCTCCTTACACTTATTTCCTATATCAACATATAATTATTAATTGTAAATTTTTTATATGGTCCTGTCAAAACAACTTTTGTAACTAGGTTTTTGTATCGTGTTGAAATACTAATTTTTTCATCAGTAAATAACTATTCTTTAAGGTCATGTGGTTTTTCTTGAACCTAGAGATAAACGATAATTGTGCAGAAGTAAGGTTTATCTCAAACAGGTTTTAATTCTCCAATTCTATTCTATTCATTTCAACATACTTCATAGTTTATTTTGAATTACATGAATTAGGCTTTACTCTCCGTACCTCACGCCTACCGCTATAACAGAGAATCAAATTTACAGATATTACTTACCTCTTCTATTTTTATTGCACTTTCCGCCAAAATATTAATATCTTCCATACCCTATTTCTAGCAAAATAAAAAATTAAAAATAACAGAGATCTGCCGAGCTCTATCTACAAAGTAAATATATACACTTAAACATTAGAGTATTGTATGAAAATTGGTCTGTCAAGAATTTCTAATCCGGAAAGAGGTCTAGCAACAAACGAACCCTCCTACTCTAGCCCTCGTGTTCTATCCCTTCTATCCCAGATCACACGGATGTTGTCACACGTGTGGTTTTCTCCCTGGATCACACGGATCATGTGATGAGCACCAGGGTAGGGAAACTTGGCGGTCAAAACGGGGTAATGATTTTTGCGCCATCTACAACAGTTCCG